ATAAAGATGAAAGCTTTGCCATACTTAGGTGCATCCACTCCGATACCGCAGGCATCGAGATGGTTGACCCTGATAATATTCCTTTAGGAATATGAAAAATAATGTCGTTGGGCACCAATGCCCGAGTCCTGACAGGGACTTGGGCCGATGTTCAGAGACCATTTGCCGGCATAAGTTACGTCGTTTTTGGGTCGTGGGATCTTGGTAAGCCTCTCTCTTTTCCATCATAACGAGAATAAATATTTAAAGTGCCTGGAAAATAATATTAGTTCGACAGTCGTCAGTCCACACTGTCCCACAAGCTTAGCTGTCGCTTGATCGCCATAAAATCGGCCTGAGTTTTGGCCATACTCCCTCCCCATCACACATTTGTGTGCCAATTGATCGTCGCGGGCCGCGCAATACGATCCCCTATTGTCAAGGCTGTCCGTCTAAAGTTATGTCATAGTTCTTGACCTACTCCACTTCTCGCTTCAGCACACCACCCCTTGTTAAAGGTCTCGCACTCCATAGTTTTGATCCCTTTTTACATTATAAAATTATTAGGAAATATATATCGGCGTCCGCCGTGAATGAGTAATATAATGTTGGCTGATGCATATGAAAATTAATTAATTGACGATTATTTTGTTAGCGGTGAGTATCGAATTTACCACCTTTGAAGGTGCACACATCAGCAAAATGCTGGCTCTTGCAATTGTACATACAACGACAAGGCTGATTCTTGCCGCTGAAAAAATTTATAGTAGTCTATAAAACTGGAGGATACAGCACGAATATATATATAAGTTTGTTAATGAGAAAGGAACCGTGTTCCGACGAACTTACTTCCTTTTTAAATCCTGGGCGATGAGATCTCGACGCTCCGGATCCTGGGCTTTGGAAAATATTATATTGGATATATACATACTATATATAAATATACGTGCACCAAAAAATGGCTGTTCTTAAGTATACCAATTCACTTAAACACAAAATATATAGATATATTATGCCAGAGGCATGCGACTTCTTCAACGGCTGGTGGAGAGAACTCGCCTTCTCTAATTGTTCATCGTGAATCGCACTTTGTCTATCGATTCGGTTGGTTTAAATGTGTTTTTAACGCATTTTTGAATGCTTTCAATGTTGTTTTTTTTACTTTCACTTGTTTTTCAATTGTAATACTTAAGGATATTGCTCTTTGGTTACGCAAAGGTTCACTTTAGCTTTGATTGGCTCTATTAACACATTTATATTGCATCACTACTTTCTCTGAAGTATGATATTGGTCACTACGCTTTTGAACGGATGGCTCCTACAACTGAACAATTTTCAGGAGCATGGAGTACTCACGGGTACTGCGGCTACAAACATCACAGTATGTCAGATGTCGTCCTTATTGTTGATCCTCTTTACGTTCTTTAATGACAATGGCGGTACTGGTCCGACACATATGATTCTTTCGAGCTGCGATTTGTGTTCTTTTGAAGGACTGTTGGATATGGTGGCTGGTCCTAGTGGCAGAAGACTCCGTGGACGACTACCCCAGGGAAAGTCGCCTTCCCTCGGAGCTACCGGCTTCCGTCAGAAAGACACCCAAATGGATACTCCCCTCTTTTCTAATTGTCTAAGGTGTTTTATACCAGACTAGAGCTTTTACTTGGTTGCCGGTATGGATCGGATCACCTAGGTGTTCCCCCCTTGGATTACTATTCCTCGATATCTGCTTTTTTGCCGGCTACTGGAGTATGGTTACCAGTAGGTCGATCGTGGCCGTTGTTCGGGCCACGCGACACTCCAGAATTGCCGAATTGCATTTTCTTCTGCCTTTACCAGTATGAGTCTGGTTAGTCAAGTGCACCCCTCCCCCGACTCAAGGTTCGTCGTTGTTTCTCTATGTGAATTTTTCTATGTGGAGAGCATACGTAACAAAACTTTCCAATTAGGAAAGACTCTTCTAGGTATAATCTACAAGCATATGTGAAGTCATTTATGATTGACTCTCAGAAGTGACTTCGGCGACACTTTTAGAAGTCACTTCGACGAAGCTTTTCGAAGTCACTTCTGCGATACTTCTGGAAGTGTCGCCGAAGTGGAACATTTTTCCCGAAGGGAGTACCTTCTGTGATCCAAATGCGACATCGCGGACGATAGCTTTCATTTTCTTGAAGTTACTAAATAGTCCCTTCCGCGATAGAGAAGGCTTGCAGGGTTATGAGTGATGTCATGCAGATGTTTAGTACATAAACGTAAACGTGTAATGTATATAGGTTACGTTTTGTCTGGCAAAAATTGTATTTCTATGGCAAAATAACTGCAGACTCAAGTTATAGGTAAGAAGTGGATATATTAAGTTGCGGAAATGGACGCAATACTCTTCTTAAAACGGGAAAACTGAAAAAAACGTTAAAAATCGACACAGGAAAGCAGTTTTATTTGGAGCATAAAATAAAAATAAACAATAATCATTTTTTTTATTTTTATTATTTAACTAATTATGATTATTTTTGACGAATGTTATAAAAATCACAAACTCGAAAATCATGATGCGTATGTCCGTCCTAATCGACTGATTTTTTTAATCAAAAAACTGTTCAATAATTATTTTTTATAGTCTCTGATCTTAAATGAGTAAAATTAGGTGCCAGACGGGCAATAATATGTGTATTATTGTAGACTTCTGGCCTCTTTGCTTTTAGCCTTTCATGACCGGTAATCGTTAAAAAAAACCTGTTAAGGGAAAGGCGGATTTGTTTACTTCCTTCGATCGGCTTTTCTTAATATTGTTTACATTGTTGAACGTTGATGCACTAAGAGCAGTACAAACAAGTGGCCCAAATGACACCAAGCACGTGCTTGTTACGCGCGGGCCCATTTTTATTTCGGGCAATTACGGTTCTCCAGGAAGGTACATAAAACAAAAAAGAGAGGACAAAACTTAGATCAACAAGACTAAAGCTAATGAGCTAAAATTTCAGTTTTTAATACAGGGATAGAAGTTGCGGAACAAATTAAATGATATAAGTTGATATAATTATTAGAGAGAACGCAAAAGGGCTTGTGCTGACTAAAATTAGATGAACCTCATTGGCAAGTTGATAGATAGTAGTTTCGCATAAGTCTAACAGGAACATTGAAAGTTAGGCGGCTTACCAAATCTTCAGAATCAATATCGCCTCTAATAAGATTATTCATAAAAATAGTACCAAGCATAGTTCTACGGTTTACTAGACTAGGCAAATTCTTTAGACCAACGCTTTATAAACCCAAGAACACTTATAGCTTTATTTACAGTAGAGGTTATGTGGGAGTAAAATTTAAGTTTAGGATATAGGAGAATACCTAAATCGTTTACTGAGGTCCAGGGACATGTTCTGAAGAGAGTAACTCATGAACGTTGGCGTACCCCTATAAAAAATCATTTAAGATAGTTTAAATTCAAAAGGTTGTACTGACACCATTCCTGGAATCTATTAATGTCTGACTGCAAGCAGAAACCAGCCTTCTTCCAGTCGTGGTCTGTGTGTATATGAGTTGTATTTCTAGACCACTGTCAGGGAGATCAGAACAATTTCTGTCTGTCTTCTCTATTTGGCTGGGGTCTTTTATACCGGACTAGAGCTTTTGCTAGCCCCCCATATTGGACGAATTAACTAGGTGTTCCCACCTAGGGGTACTGTTTCTCCATTTTCCCTATTTTAGGAGTCAACGACCGACCTGTGCACTTTGCCACCTTACTGGAGTACGGTTACGAGCAGGTCGATCGTGGTCGTTGTTCTGGCCACGCGACACACGTGAGTTGTCGAATTGTATTTCTGTTTTGCCCTTATCAATCTGAGTGTGGTTAGTCATTAGCGGCCCCTGCCCTCTACTTAAGACAGTTGATTTGCCGGGGTTAATCTTTCTATAGGGGACGGCGTACGTAACGGACACGGAGATATCAAAGAGCGGTAATAATGCGTTCAAATGTTTTATTAATTGCAGACAATTTGGAGATTCCTCTATAGTTCAGAACATTAACCTTCGCACCCTTTTTGTGGAGTGGAATAATAAAAGAATCTTTCCAGATAGTGGGAAAAACAGATGATGAGATAGACAAATGAAAAAGTTTAACAATGGGTTTACAAATAGTTCGGGCACTAAACTTAAGCACACACCCAGGGAGTCCATCTGGCCCCGGAGAATAGGTTGGCGTTATAGTTTCTAAATCACTTAAGAGAGAACTTTCGGTGATTACAGGAGAAACAAGGAAGAACGCTATAGTTGAGTACCTCGACTATCAGATACCCGTTACTCAGCTAATGGGACCAAAGGGAAATGGAGATATGCAAGCAAGATTGAAATGCGCCACCTACCCGTGATCTAAATATATGGTTATGTGGGCGGTAGACAGATTTAACCGTTATGCACGTTAGAATGGGCGTGGCAAACTATTTTTTGGATCAATCGATAGGTATTGATGAGACCAATACATTTCAGTTAAAATTTTGTATTTAGCATGAAAATTGTGGGCGCCACAGGTTTGGTCGGTTTTTGAGCGTTAGAGTGGGCGTGGCAATATTTTTTTTGGGTCAATCACTACTTTTGCAATATCTTTACAAATGTGGACGACAGATTTAAGAGTTGTGGGTGGGAGTTGTATGTATTAACGAAATCAATACATTTCCGTTAAATATTTTTTTTTTAGCCTCTTGGGCTAGTGGGCTTGGCACTTTGTTGATACAAAAATCTATAGAATTAATTGATTATTCATAACTTTAAAGTTTTTACAGTTTTCGAGATCTCAGCGTTGATACGGACGGTCAGACGGATATCGACTTGCCTAGTCTCTTTTACTGCGTTGCAAAGTTCTGACTGAAATCATTATACCCTATGCAAGGGTATAATAAACTAAGTATTATTATGGTGTACTTAAAAAGTTTTTTGGTGTGTGCAAAAAAAATTACAAATAACAAAAAGCTATTCACTTACATAATTTATGTATTCTGGTGTGTGTGTAAAGAAGAAAGGTATCTTACCCAAATGCGATGCGGTCATAGAATTCGAATGCGGTAAGTAGGTACCGCAGCCTAATCAAACTGCGAGGCTCAAACATTAAAGCTCTTACTCGGTTGTCCATCCATCCACCAAGAAATTCATTAAAATTGTCATTATCGATGCGTTGAAAAATTTTAAATGGTAACTTTTTACGTATAAATTCTGTAATATAAATTAGTTTGAAAAAGGTGTTATGAAAACAGCAAGGTAGCTCTTAATATGTTATTTAAATTGACATAATGTATAATCACGAATCACGTATCGCCACTGAAGGTATCAAATAAAAATTATCTCTTACGACTATGTTCTCAACGAAAGTCGAAAGTGATGTTTATAACATGTTCTCTCATACAGAAAATTGTTGTACACTTTTTCACAAATTTTCACAATATACATACATTTGACAGCTCTAGTCCTTGGTAATAAAAGCCCCCGGACCACAAGAAAGAACACAGTTGAAAAATTTCAAAAAAAGATTTTAAAAAATACAGATACCCCAGGTTTTTTAAAAACGAGCAATCAAATGATTTCGAGATTGTTTCGATTATTTGCTTATTATTTTTTGTAAATTGCACGAATTAAACCATTTTCGGCATGTAGATGGATATTGATAACACGGTCAACAAAATGGATTTTTTAAAAAGTACAGGCCTGTGGTCATTATTATGTTAATATATACGTAAATAAGCATATCGCTTTTGATCCTAACGTGTGGTATTCGTAAAATTGCGGCTTGGAAGAAATATCACATTTAATGTGTTGAAGAAAGATATCTTTGAGAGTTTGTACTCAATTTTATTGATATGAACATATAAGCAGGCTTTAAAAATACCAGAAAAAAAATGAGCCCCAAAGTATTATACAAGCATTTAGAGCATCTTCTGTGAATTTTTAAGACATTAACCAACATCCTTCGAGGTATAATAGTGGTAAGTGTCTTAAAAAATCGGTAATATACGCCTCCAAATGCATCTAAAATCTTTTGGGGATCATATTTTTTCTCGTATTTGTGGTAGTGGTTCAAACATACACCATGGACAATATAAATTTCTACAAATATTCGGCGGTTCAGCTAAGAAATGGCTTTCCGTATTGGGATTGCCAACACAAGGCCTTAAATACGAATTGATTGCTCGTCTCGGTCGTGAAGACGCAACGGAAGAGAGGAAAAGTCTTAACGCCAACGACGATACTGGGAAAAGTCTTGACGCCATCGAGGATTCTGGAGTAGATCAAGATGACGTCTCCAACCATGAACTCCATGCCGCCGACAGCAACGATCCGGACAATGGACCACCAGCCACACAGGAAATGTCTTCCGAGAATGCTCTTCAGCAACATGAGCTTATTTATATAATTCGGCAGTTGCAGGCAGAGGTTAGTGCGCATCGCAAGTTCTTGCAGAAAACGCAGCCACGTGGTGCCGCACAACAGCAACAACAACAAGCAGTTGACAATGGTGGTGGCAACTCCGGCGGTGCAAACGGGAACCCATCGGTTGGCAACCCTGCCAGTCTGATCGTTTCACGTTTCCAATGTGAGAGCTAACTTTGACAGGGCCTCAGGTTCCCTGCTAAGTTTTTCGGCTCCATAAAAAAATTACTACTTAATTCTAAGCTTACTTAACAAAATCTAAATCAAATTTGTGATTAACAGCACTCTGTCATTGTATTTCGATCAATAAATTAAAGAAGTCAAGAAAGCCTTTACGACAACTTTTACTAGTCTTTATTTGGTCTTTATCTTTTTTGGACAGATAGCTATCATGGACTTTGTCAGGGACTTGAAAAACCGGCAAAAAGACAGGTCTAGGTTGAATACGAGTAAAAAAACAGATTTTAAAAAACAGATAAAGATTGCAATAACACTTTAACACTAATAAATTCAGTTCCCATCACAAAAATTCGGCAGTGTGGAAGTCTATGCGCCTAAATGTGGAATGAGTGTACCACTTGCGGACCGTCCAAGTAACCAATTGTTTAGTGGGTGTAATCTTTTTAGTCTTTTTCTATTTATAGGTGTGGAAAGTGTGAGAGCAAGTATGCTTGTGTGAGAGACGAGCCTTGATCTGTAGCGAGTGATAGTCTTAGTGATAGATGTACAAACAGGATGATTTTGAGATCTCGAAAAAATTGTACTGTTTCTTGGATAGTATGGGGCGTTTATCATGTCTTAAAATCTTGGCTTGCTTCTTTTTATAGTGACCCAGATGTGTATACCCCAAGGGGGGCATTTTAAAAGAAGATATCTTACGATCGTGTAAAAAATTAAATTAAAGAAAATTCGGCTTCGGGATACTTAGTTTTTTATCCCAACGGGTGGTATTTGTGCAATCGCGTTCTGAAAAGGTAACATTTATTGTTTTGATTAAAGATACTAATTATACTCAATTTTATTGATATGCAATAAACTGCTTATGTGCCCTCTAGATTTGCGTCTAAGGTTTCATCATATCTTAAGTCGATCACAGCTTATGGTAATTTAAGTAATCTGTTAATCTGTTAAATAATTTGATGTGGTATAAAAAATATGAGGTCCAAAATATTTTACATGCAATTGGAGGCGTGTTTTTTCGAAGTTTTAAGATACATTATAGAATTTTTTTTTAAACATAGAATGTTATAATATAGGAACCAGAATATGGGCCTCCATTTAAACTTTAAAAGCCCATTACTTGGTCGAAAGATCTCGAATTTTGAAACGGAATACCTTTATGTGGTTTGTGTAAAATTTTTGCTGTTATCTGAATTCAAATATTAAACTTTAAAGGTGAACATTTTGACTGTTTTTATGTGATTGATTTTAATTTTGCTAAGGCTTATAAAAAATGGGCCTACATGTAAACTTTAAAAGACCTTTACTTGGTCAAAAGAACACGTATTTTGAAACGGCCTACCTTAATGGGCTAGTGGAACGGTTATGCTGTCAAAGGTTTCCAGAAAATTAGCCTTCATTTAAATTTTCAGAACTCATATCTTGGTCAAAAGCACTCGGATTTCAAAATGCGACACCTTAATGGGTTTGCGTTGTAATGTTCGTGTCCTTAATTTAGCAAGAGGATCTACCTGCCATTTTCCAAGTGCGCTTCAGAAAAATAGTTCAGCTTTTATGCATGCCACGGCATATTCTATCTTTAAATATTATATATTTAAGACCGGACGAACTTGCTTGAGTGTACGTTTCTCACGCCGCGCCGCCTCAGTGTGCGCGCATCTTTATTCGGCACTCAAAATAAAGTTTTCCGACTTGTCCCAATCTTTTGCATACATTTGGTGGGACGAACCAACATTGTCTCAGTTCGTTACAACATAATTTAAAAATAATAACAGGAAAATCCTGCTTTTATTTTTATTTAATATAACCTGTTTTAATTAATTCTGTGGAAACTCATTTAGGTCCCACGACAAACTTTTTAGGGTTCAACAAGGATTATGTTTAGAACATTATAATAATTTTTAATAAAAAAACAAAATGCTGAATTGCTGAAAACCGCGATTGAACATTTTTTTAAGTTCGGACTATAAGTCGATACGTTCACAATGAATCACTCATATACATATATTTTGGAGACCGAAAAATAAAGAGACTTTGGGCGTTTTTTCAATAAACAATGCAATAACCTATTGTTAATTATTATTGTTTTACCGAGACCTCAAAGTAGTCGACAAATGAAGGATTGAAATTTTTGGTTTAAATTAATTTCTATAAAATGTTTATTTTGTGTACACTTTTGTAAGATTGCCACCATTTAAAAAATATGAAAACATAAGGGTTTTTTTTAAGGACAGCGGAACAATGGAATGAAAAATAAGGTCAGTTTCGAGAGCACTATATATTTACGCTATTGAGTTGGATTAAGAACGGATTTTAAATAAGATAATTAAGTTATTAATTATGACTACTCGTCGATCCTTCGCTGCCACCGTCTCTGCCACTGCTGCCGTTTCTGCTGACGTTCTTTATTATCATTGGTTGCTGGTCTTCATCGCTGTCGCTGTTGGCCAAGTTTTATTGTCATTGGCCGAAGCATTTAAGTTATTGTTATTGATGTATGCACTTGGCTGAGTTCGATCAACTTTGGAAATTGGCTATTCTGCATTCAGCTATCTGTCCGAAAAAGATAAAGACCAAATAAAGACTAGATAAAGTTGTCGTAAAGGCTTTCTTGACTTCTTTAATTTATCTGATCGAAATACAATGACAGAGTGCTGTTAATCACAAATTTGACCTGTCAAGCGCCAAAACAGAGCATGCTGTGATTATTGCTGTTTAGCTTTTGTTTCCGTTAGAATTCAGCTGTCATTTTATCGAGCCGAAAAACTTAGCAGGGAGTGTGAGGCCCTGTCAAAGTTAGCTCTCATATTGGCAGTCAAGTAACCAAAATTTCTTTAGCTGGAACCTGTCTGATTAATAAATGTTAGCCGGATGTCGAGAAATTGGCCCAAAATAATACAGGAACACAAAATTGAACTTTGTGAAATTTCCAGAAACCATTTATCATTTTCTATGATAATTGGGTCCTTTTGGGTAAAGGCCTCATACCAACTTTTGTGTTCTCATATACAGGTTCCGCGACATAGCTAAGAATACTCAATACCGGTGTTTGCCCACATATAGACTATCTCAATACATGACAGCATCCCTATAAACTAGTCCCTATCTTTAACCATTGCCTATGTCATTGGAATTTGACGACAAAGATAAAACTCCTTTATTCACAATTTCTCTTTAAAACAAGAAAGAAAGTTAACTTCGGCAAGCTGAAGCTTGTATACCCCTGCAGATATAATTATTAAATTTAAAAATACTATGTCAGAAAACACCGAAGCTATAATTTTTATACCCGTTACTCGTAGAGTAAAAGGGTATACTAGATTCGTCGAAAAGTATGTAACAGGCAGAAGGAAGCGTTTCCGACACCATAAAGTATATATATTCTTGATCAGGATCACTAGCCGAGTCGATCTAGCCATGTCCGTCTGTCCGTCTGTCTGTCCGTCCGGATGAACGCTGAGATCTCGGAAACTATGGGAGCTAGGCTATTGAGATTTGGCGTGCAGATTCCTGAGCTTCTTACGCAGCGCAAGTTTGTTTCAGCAATGTGCCACGCCCACTCTTACGCCCACAAACCGCCCAAAACTGTGGCTCCTACAGTTTTGATG